CGCCTGCAAGCCGGCAGGTAGGCCGACCCGCACTACACCCAAGCATACTCTGTTTTGATGTGGCCTACCCACCAGGCGGTGAGACCGCGTTGACTCGGGCGATACAGGGACAAACTGACTGTCTCTCGCGGCTCAACCACAACCACCCGCACGCCCGACCGTACGACAAACTGTTCAGTCCAGGGGTCTTTGCGTCACCCTGTAGAAGCTTGAAAAGCCGAACAGAAAGAATAGTTTCACTGTTACAAAAGTTGGAAAGGATGAGCAGAGCATGTCCTTCTGTTGCAAGAGTTAGCGCCAAGCCAAGTGTAGGGCATTCCTTGTGTTGCACTATTAGGAGAAGCATCCCCTACGCCTGTAGCTGTGGGCCAATTTTTTGTCCGGTAATTTTTTTTCGCCGATTTTTTTGACATAATGGTTATGACTGTCCCACTGATTGATTACAGAGGAGGCATGGCGGTGTACTGCCACACCCCCTGGCCAGCCCGTAAGTGCCTGCTCTGCATTCACATTCACTTTTCTGCTGCATAAATGCAGAAACTCGCGCGCGCGGCTTTGAGATCGGGGACGGGGACGGATTTGGAGTCTATATGGTCCCCGATTTAAAGACTCTGATTTGGCAGCCGGCCCCGGCCGGGCCCCGAGGTGGGGACGTGCGACCGCGTACGATCACTTGGCCAACATTGCGCCCCACACCAGCTGCAACGGGGCCCTCCCCCGGCCCAGTTAGTTCTCCCCTGCTGTTGCTGCAGCTGGAAGTGGTGGTGGCGGCCGTGGTGGTGGTGGTGGAAGGGTTGCTAGAGTATATAACTGGGCGCCCGCTCTGGATTGCCAGTATTGTGTGCTCTACCGTTCCCAACCGACTGGAACCAACCAACCTCCTCAGCTCCGACAAAGATGGCGTTCATCAAGGTGTGTGATCGTGTGTGTGTGTGTGTGTGGTCCATGAGTGGGACGTGAAAGTGAGCAGCTTCCTGTGCGCCGAAGTCTTGGATAATATCATCGGCGATCGACGTCAACAACATCGGCTGCCCTGTCAACCCCTCTATATTGGTAAAACCGGTGGCGGCCGACGTCACCGGGACGACTGCCCCGCGAGTACGCCGTACTTGCAGACTTCCGGAGCGACTAGAGTCACAAGTGGTGGCCCCGCCTTTAGCTTTGTGTGTTTCATCTTTGTCTTTACAAAGTGCACTGGCCTACATTTATAATTTTGACGCAGTTAGTGTGCATTACTTTGCCCATGATCTTATGTATGCGTGCTGGTAAATGTTATTTCTTCTGCGCATTCACTGGTAAAACAAAGTTGCCAAGGCGCATGTGCAAGGCTTCTAGAAATTTTGAGTTTGGTGCCATTGCAAAGGCACTAAAGATCCCTTAAGGTGCTAAAAAGTAGTGTCAGTGTCTATGCATGTTTAAAGGCACTAAACCCTCAACACAGCACTTTCCAAGGGATAGACTTTGCACCTTGGCTTTTCCATTTGTTGTGCAATGCACTTGGATCCGCGAGTAGGCTTTACGAAGTGCATCATGTGTCATTGAACCTAATCAGCCAGCAAGCTCAGACTTCAACCTGCCACTGTGGTTACAGCACAGCGCCATAACATTTCCCCGAGTATTATATCAATCAATCGAATCAATCAATCAGTCTCTAAACCGTTTTGTGAACCGCAGGTCCTGGCTGTCCTGGCGCTGGCGGGCGTGTGCGCGGCCTTCCCCGGCGGCCACGCCGAGTCCTACGCGTCGGTGATCCAGCACTCGCACCCCATCCACATCTCGCACCACGAGCCCATCAAGCACGAGGAGGAGCACGAGCACATCATCCTGGTGAGTACTGTCAACCGGTAGAGGACATCGTGAAGCGTTTATCTTATTTTCATCAAAACTCAAAGAGCTCGTCAAAACGCTATTGCTTTTCAGAAAAATAAAAACACATTCATATCTATTTTTATTTTTTGCCTGGCACCAACTAACTTTTTCAATGTTTTGCTACCCTGCAGGCGCATCCCAAGTACGACTTCAAGTACGGCGTCGAGGACTCGCACACCGGCGACTACAAGGACGCGAAGGAGGAGCGCGACGGCGACGTGGTGAAGGGCGAGTACTCGCTGCTGCAGCCCGACGGCAGGAAGCGCATCGTGCACTACACGTCGAGCAAGCACGGCGGCTTCAACGCCATCGTCTCCTACAGCGGCCACGCCATCCACCCCGAGGTCCATGGACACGGACACGGTCTCTGAAGCGGTGCAGCAGCATCGCGTCACCCATTCATCATCAACTCCATGCAGCGCATCGACCAAAGTCACCCATTAACCTCATCGTCATCAATCACGTTCAACGAATCATCATCGTGTACATACGCATTTATCATTTCACCAATAAAACGTAAAAGACTGAATTAAACTTTTGGGCCTGTTTATCCAACATCCTTAAGGCTGTAATTCAGTGCACAAACTTGCGCTCCCGCCACCCTCAGTGTAGCCGCCTCCAGCGCCGGCGCGCGGCGCGGATGTTAGAGTCGTAGACTCTAGCGCGGGTGAACGCGGGGGGCGAGGTAACGGAGCGAGCGGGGAAAGAGGGGTTTTGTTGCGCCAATGCAATGTGCACACTTTTCTAAGAGGGGTAGTTCCCGCACTTTGAAGCATTCAGTCTCGTCACCTCTGTCGACGCTGTAGAACCGGAATGGGCATCCCTGTCTCTACCAGAATGAAACGTGCCCTCTCTCGCGCTGCTTGTTCTCTTTGGAACAGGGCCACACGGGGGTGAGGGCTCGAGTGTGGCGACGACGACGCGTCGTTGTATGGCAGGCCAGCGCTGTGTTCAACTTCGTCCGCTTCCGCTCCCATAATCGGCCGTCAGCGGCACAGACACTGGGTGTGACTTTGAGGCCGGGTAGAGGGGGGGTGGGGGGCGCTGTCTCTTTCTTAGCCCTGCGGGCTAATTTTCAGACAGTCCTGAGAACGGTCTCAGCCATTGGGCAAAGAGACCTCCCTCCCCCTGTCTCTCCGTCTCCCACAAGCATTTACATGTTATGGACAGAATAGAAATTTCAAATACA